TGTGTGTATTTAAAATGCTGGGGAAGTAAACATTTATATGTTTCTAGTTACCTTTATATTAAATGAATTAAATTCCTTTGTTTTTCGAAAAATACTTCTCTTTTCGCTTAATATTATTATTCGGTTAATGTTATTGGAATATTTATAAAAAAACGTAATCACGTTATGCCTACTGTATATATATACGGCCAACGGTTGCGAAAATAAAGAACAGGTGAGAACTTTTCTAAACATCGCGTATATTTTATTTTGTCAAATGTTAAAAATGGAAAAAGCTGCCAACTCAACATCTGCAAAAATCTCGAGCTACCAAAGCCTTAACCCGGAGTTTCAAAAACTTCAAGTTCTTTGGTAAGCTCTCAAGTTTCAGACGCACTCACTCCTAGAAAAAGAGAAGTGGATTGCAACTCGGCAAAAAATACATGAAACTAATGGAATACTTGTGTTTTATTCAAAAGACAGTGAAGAATAACATCTTTTACCACGATCATGTCATTCCAGCTCGTTTTTTTTTTCCCATCCAACTGAATAAAAGAGTACTTTGAATTCCAAATAAATTTCTGCATGTGTGGTTTTTTTCTTTTTCGTATGGTATCTGGTATTAAATATTTTGTTTGTATGGATTTCGACGTACATAGCTTCAAACATTTCCTTTAATAAAAACGTTTCTTAAATATTTTTTCCCCACATGCGGAAACTTCATTCGCAAACCAGTTGATTCTTAGGGTTTGATTAAGATTGATTGTATTATTTGAACAAAGATGGAACTAAATTCCAAGGAAGAAAAGAACAACGAGGAAAATAAAGAAAGCCATGTTGACTAAAAGTAAAGAAACGAGCAAGAAATAAGAACGGCTGGCTAAGCCTTGAGGCAGATCTTCATTCTCTCGTTAAAACAATCCTTCTCTGAAATCTAAAAGCGCGATATTGTGGAAAACCTATTTATTTAAGTTACACAGCAGCAAGAAACGTTTAACAAATATTTCTTTTAACAATTATTCACTTAAGGTGATAATTCGTTAAAAGGAAAAGTTCGGAAAGGAAAAACGAAAACAGAGACTTATATTTATTTATCTTCAGGTTCCAAATTATCTGTGAAATAGCAATACATAAAATTAAATTCTATAATTTATAAATATAGGAAGCGGAAGATTAAATTTTTGTTCTCGAAGCGAAAGTCATCGTTTGTGCAATACTTTCTGATTTTTAGCCCAAAGGGTGTTAGCCCAGAATGGCTATTAATTTCGTTTTGGCATTTTGCGTTGATTCACTATAAATGTCCGTTTCACTTTTTAAATTATTGCTACCAAATATTTGAGCCCTGTGTTATATTTAAAGAAATTAAATAAGGAAGAATAAAGCGACGGTACCAGCCATCCAGTTTTAAATAACGTACGCCTCCACCCGAATACGAGCAACTGGATGCCCGAATTTAGAATTTGTTTTTTTATCTATTTCATATTTGGTAAAGCATTAATGAGTTTTTGATTAAGAAACTCGACGATTTCAAAGCGGGCAATGGCATCATTGTACGAGGGGGGAAAGTTATCTCCAGCGCACGAGACTGTGTATTGGAAATTCTAAAGATATGCTCTTTTAAATATTTTTTGATATTGCTGTTGAATCTTATTTTATGGGTTAAGTGCAAAGAACATGATATTAAATAAATGAAGATAACACACAAAACGTTAAAAAATACACCCCTTTGGGCCCTTTCTCATCCGGTCTCAAAGAATTCAAATGTACTAGAACTCGTAGAATATAATTGCGAAGAATATAGTCGTAAATTTAGTAAGAATTGTATTATATGCAAATTTTGTAGTTATTTCGTGTACCTTTTTATGTGTTTATTTTAAATGAATTGCTTTCAAAATTATACTAAAAAAAGAAACATAAATTTGCATTAAATTAACTCTGCTTATGTATAGTAAATAAATAACGTACTGTAGATATCGAATATACGGAACAGTAACCGTCTGTTTCTCTCAAAAGCGAAAACACGGCAAATCAGGTTTCTTGTAAGTCGTCATAATTGACAAGTACATGATTTTCTTTTTCAAGAGCAAAGAAATCTGCAACTGGAAAACAAAGTTACGAATATATTTATACCCTTCTTATTTTATGAACATATTTCTTTCGACTTCCATCGAACATGCTGAATATATCACATAATAACAGAATTAATCGAAAAGTGTGAAAAATAAAGCGAAAGTGAAATTGTTCTTTTTAAAGTGAACCAGTTAACTGTGGCGGCCTCGTTTAAGAATACGCACCGTTTTATGCCGCTAGAATCGAACCATGACGAGTCTGTTCGTCTATCACAGAGCAAATTGCGCTGATAAGATATTGGATGAAAAAGATGGGATTTTTTTATAAAATTTTCAATTTTATAACTAATATTTACTTATTTGGTGAACATAAGCATATATTACAATCATATTAAACTAAAAACGCAATCAATTAAATTAAATATTATACATGTAAAAGTAAGAATTTAAATTCCTGCTGTGGAATGATATTCAGCGAAACAGGGTACTATACACAATGGGTCTTTGCAAATCGAACACCAGTAACGCGATTCCTTCCTGACCTTACGTTTGTAGCAATGCGAACACCTTCGCGTAGGGTTGTTCCGATGTTCCGGGTATGTAATCCGGAACATGATTCCCGCCTAATTGGCTTATATTAGGTCTAAATGGCCGAGTTTGTGTCCATTAATTTCTTTCAATTGGATATGTCGAAAAAGTGTCTTCGATAAATTTGAGCAAAAAGTTGATCATGTTGATCATGATAAATTTGAGCAAAAAGTTGATCACGCGATCATGTTCCATTATTTGTTTTATATAATATGAATGCTTTCAGACACATAATGTCTAAGAAATGGCGAAATATCTTTTTGTAGTACTTTTTGAGTCGTTTTCTTGCTGTGGAATACGCTATGATAATTCCATCACTCCTATGCACTCCACTCATTTTTTTGTTATAGTCAATCATTAGCTCCGGCTTCTTTGTTATTATTTTTCTTTTCTCTTCTCCTATTACGTTGTCATTATGTACAGTACTTACTAAGTAAATCTCCCTCTTATCTTTCCATTTCATTAACATAATATACGCATGACGAGTATACTCGTCAATACACAAAATTGTGTCGTTTCTCCATGACGAGTATACTCGTCAATCACAGTTAACTGGTTAATTAAGAGTTTGATCGCCCAGCGTCTAAATAAGTGGCACATGTGCTTTGTTTTGTTGCGTTTAGACACCTAACAATTAGCTTTATTAACTACAAAATGAAATGCTGTAAACAATAACCGAATTTTCTGTTAGTACTGCCAAGCTCTGAGGCGCTCTGACTAGAATTAGAAATTTGCTCAAAAATTGCGAAGTAGCTTGGTCGAGTATCTTAGCTGGAAAATCTAAGCTGCGAAGTAATTTAGGTGAATTTTAAATCCGATAGCAATTCAGAATGATCGCGTTAAGCGGTTAGTCTTCCATAAGCGAGGTGAACGCGAAACTTGGCGAGAGTTTGTATTTGGCGCGATTTCGATTTGGGTATGGTCTCTGGCTGTATGTTTTTCTTGCGGCAAACATAGAGTGATTGTAATGAGTTGTCAATTTAGTGTAGTCTGGTTATTTTTAATTTAATTTCGAATTTTTGTGTTTATTTTTAAAAGTTTTACTGTTGAATATTTACAGGAGTTAAGCTGTTGTTAGTGGGAGAATGTTGGGTTTCAAATGACGTGTAGTTTATAATATATGAATTATATTTATGAATGTTTTCATTTAATTTTAATTAATTAATAAAATTTTCTTTTATTTATTTAATTAATTACTTGTAAATATCGTGTATATTTTATTTTGTCAAATGTTAAAAAATGGAAAAAGCTGCCAACTCAACATCTGCAAAAATCTCGAGCTACCAAAGCCTTAACCCGGAGGTTCAAAAACTGCAAGTTCTTTAATAAGCTCTCGAGTTTTAGACACTCGTTCCTAGAAAAAGAGAAGTGGATTGCAACTCGGCAAAAAATACATGAAACTAATGGAATACTTGTGTTTTATTCAAAAGACAGTGAAGAATAACATCTTTTAGCACGATCATGTCATTTTCCCATCCAAATGAATAAAAGAGTACTAGTATCCAGTTTCCCCTCAGTAAAGTATTCAGTTAATTAATGGTTTTCGGGTCAGTTAATTATTTTTTAGTTTTGTTTCTTGCACGTGGCAACTGAGAGATGTGGAATGTTTAAAGTGTTGAGCGAAAGTGGTTGAGTGTGTTGAATTACAAGGTGATAGTAACTTGTACAATTTAGTGAGTTTATGATGCACCCATTCTTAGTGAATTTGAATATATTTACTTGGTTGAAATTTTTTATGCAAATGAAGAGACATTTGGTACGTGTTATTATAGTATTTTTGCAGTAATTCAATTTTGTATTTTTGTAATTTTTAGTTTCATGTTTATAACTTGAATTTTTTGTAGTTTATTTTAAATTTATATTTGACTTTGTAGTAATACTAATAATGTCTTACGTGCTCCGCCATTCGTAGGCACTACACGAGCTTATCTCTTTACCTCCGCATTCGGCGGGAGGTGGGCTTACTTCAAAACTCTTCCGACCAAGGAAAGTCACTCACGCTTGCCGCTCGCCTGGGTTCCCAACCCACAGGCGACAGACTTTTAAAATAGAACTCATTCTTTAGCACCACTTCACTGAACGGCTTCCCAAGGTCACCTTCCCAAGGAGACCAAGGGCGGAGAATCATACTGAAACCGGTTACTGGCATCGCACTATGAACTCAGATGGCATACGCCAAAACTTTCCAGGAAGCATAGGCTGCCTTTTCGGATAGTAAGTATGGGGTCCGTGTACCTTATGCCCCCAGAGTCGCGACTGTGAGAGTATAATACTAAGCCAGTATTTTTAACCCCAGATTTATGGCTGTCTGTTATGGTGAGTTCAAGAATTTAATTAAGTCATTTCTTCTTTATATTCTTGCAGGTAGCCACTTAGCAAAGCTTCCTTATTTTGGACCCATTGCAGCAGAAGAGCTTCCAGCCGCTTATGCAGAGAAACATTTGGACACAGATTTGCTTTTCAGGAGTGAATTTGAGGTAAATTTAAACAACAAATTCATTCAAACCAAATATTTCGTTTTAAGTTTAAAAAAAATGTAAATTGCTGCTAATAATGATGTATAAGGAGTTGTAAACACTCTTGAAGTAACGATACTACTTCTCATGAGCTCCACCTGTTCCAAGCTGAGGAAAAAACAGTTCTATCTGAATCCATTTAATCTGATGTAGGAAGGAATTTATAGGAACTATTTACTCCAAGACATTTTGGAGGCTATGAATTTCTTGAAGGTTTCCGAAATGTTTGGATCCTTAAGCCATTTATTCTAAGTTTGAAAAGTGAATTTTAAAATAATACTTTTGATCGATTTAAAGAACGATTGAAACACCTTATGGATCTTTTGTGATATCAAAAATAGTTTCTGTGTTTAGGTTTTTTTTAATCTAGAGGGGTTTTTTTCTACGGCAACTTTAGAAGAGAAAAAAAATCACTTGGATAATATATGAAAGCTAAGCAAAACTCAAATTATAAATATACAGATCAGATGTCTGATTATATAATAAAACACATTAAATTTTGAAATTCAAAAGAGGAAAAACTTACATAAGAGTATTGTATAATGTAACTGAAATGTTCAGTATTATAATTCGAAAGTCAAGCAGTACTTTCTTCATGAAGACATCTATAAATGCCTTTCCGTTTTAATTATTGAATCAAAATATAACTGCTACTTTCCAAACATTGTTCTGTGTTCGTGCCACGTGTTGTTCTTGGTTTCATTTCAACACTCGTTGAAGACGATACCCTGTGATTTTTGAAACTATCGTGCCGTATATTTCATTGACATTATGATACTTCTTGTTGATAAGACATAATTTATCGTCTTTCCAATTAAGTTAATTTGGAATGTCAGCTTATGAAAAATTAGATTGTAAATAGAAATGTAATGAGATAAAACATTCAGTATTGAAATAGCTGGATTCATTTGGTTGAATTTTTTCAAAATATACTTCGCCTTTCAAAATATCAATGAATCTCAAAATAGTCTTCTCCTTACACAATTATTTCAGTATTCTAATTGGCCACTAGCTGACTGCTGATACGGTTGTTGAACAAGGGTAATTCCGTTTGACGCGAGTTCTAAGTCCGGCTAACCAGTTAGCAACATGGTTTCCCCCATGAGTATCGAAATACGAGATAAAATTTTCTTCGAAAGGATCCTTCCCCGAGGCAGTTAGCCATCGTGTTCTTTGCCATAATCCAAATAACTCCAAACCAATAACTACAATCTTCATAAAAAATTCATCTATCATTTGAAAGGTCTTTAACCATCTGCATTTTACCACATTCTGTGCAGTTCTATGCAGTTTTGTTTAATGAAGCAATCACATCTGCTATGGATTTCCTATGGGCAGCTGCTCCTAGTGGTTGACATCCAGTTACTGCTAAGGAAAGTTTCAGTCGTTGGATTGAGAAAAGCAATACGTTACACATCAGCGGTCCACAATCACCAGCGCCCGAGACTGAAAAAACTTGCCCACGTCGCTATTAGGAATATACACAACATCCCGGAAATGTGGATGTGTTGCGCAACACCAAGTACCCCACGTACGGTACGATACTTGTTGTCAATATAACCCAGAATATCAGCAAGGTGGCTATCGATTTGGTTTTCCTTGACGCTACAGCACAAGAATCAGTGCCTATATGGTGTGTTCAAGGATGCGCGTAAACGCAATAAAGACATGACTTGGTGTTTTCTGATGAATCCTGCTTTTGCCGACAGCAAAATGATGGCCATATTTGTGCATAAATGTACGGAGAGGAACGAACGTTCAAAGCTTGCTTTTCATTACCATACCGGTCCAACGTCTAGAATGATGAAGGAGGATATCCAACAAGCACACATCCCTTTTGTTTCTTGTCCGCATATCCAGTACTTTGATCAACTTCCATTACAGTGTATCTCAACCAGTGTGCAGAGAGAAATTGTAAAATGTTCCCCAACAGATTTTGACAAATAACTAAATTTGCACAGGGTTTTTAACACAATATTTGTAATTACCTCAACGATTCCTAAAAAAAAAATCTTTTTAAATTTAGTTTTCCCGCGTTTTAATTTGATATTATTTTTTCCGAATTGTAACTTACGTTGATTCAAATTGGTTCTTTCTTAAAATCTAAAGATTTGTAAAATAAGTAACTCTTTAAATTTCTTTAATGTGACGTCACTGCTGCGAACTTATTATAAGTGTTTTATTCATTTCACCGTAATGCCGTAGTTCATAAAGTCTGGGTTCGCCGTAGTTAATAAAATCTGGTGCTTTATAAGGTATTTCTCCCGCCTTCTTAGCATGCCTTCGTAGTGTAGGGGTCTGCACGCTGGACGCGTATTCCAGAGGTCCGTGGTTCGATTCCCGGCGAGAGCGTTGCTCATTTTTCATCTTTCCTGTTTCCAAAAATACCTAGTGTCTCTACAACTTAACAAACGGAAGTTAACGAAGAAGCAAACGAAAGTATAAAGATAATTACATGGAATTCGAATTCATCTCAACTGAAACAGAAAACCCTCAAATGTCATTTTGCGTACTTTGCAAAACGAGACTTACAAATAAAGTTATGGTTCCTAATAAACTGAAAAGATATTTGGAAACTCCACATCAGGAGGTCAAAAACAAGTCAAGAGAATATTTTGAAAACCTCGCAGTGCAGAAAATTAAACAGCAAAAAATTTTTAAAACTCTGTGAAGATGCCAGAAAAGAAACTGATTGCCAGGTACAGTGTTGCACAATTAATAACACAACGCAAAAAAGTACACGCCGAATGCCGAGTCGATCATTGCACCATGATTTAGCTATCACAGCAGTAAATGTAATCTTTCAGCCTATGAATATCATTTACAAAATCTATTTTTACATATGGAAAGAAATTTCTCCTCCTCAACACACTCAGCACTTCACAACGGAGTTAGCTGTAGTCTGTAATTACCGCCAAGCGTAACGTCAACATTAAAGATTACCATGCTCTTTGGTGTTTAATTACTAATATTAAAAATAAAAAATAGTAATAAAATTGTTTTAACATATATCCCTGAGTCATTTCTCGAGTTGCATTCTGTTGATAGTCATATGATAATCAAAGCAGAAAATAATAAATAACGATTCGCCTTGCAGGCGTCAATGTCTAAGTTAAATTTGGAATCGGGTAGAGGGAAATGCTCATGGTACTAATTTCAGGTATGTTCTGCACCTCAAAATTACCTGAAATTTTAATCATTTCATCTTTCTATTGCAATGTTATTGAATACTTTCCATTCGTAGTGTAGCAAGTTTAAGGACGGCAGTGTATTTGCCTTTGCCATTGTTTCATCTTGAGTGGCCTGTCGTAACATGGCATATCTTCAATTTCTACTTCAATAAGCCTAAACACAACATTTCTCTGCGTACCGCTACAGGGATAGGCAAACGTTTTGGATCGCTAGCCAAAAAATCGAAAACAAAAAGTTTGGTGGGCCAAGATAAATTTTTCTAAAATTTTAAAAACAATATACAAGTATTACAATTTAAATATGTTAATGAAATGAATGAAATTGCGATTTCATTTTTAAAAATTCCTTATATTGAGTTTCGAGGTGAGATATACTGATTCTAAGGAACGAAGCTAAATGCTCATCTGTCAATCTACTTCTGAAATAATTCTTTCTAAGATGCATAGTTGAAGACGCTTGTTCACATGTGTAAGATGAATCAAATATAGCACTGATTTTGGGGGTGTGAGCTATTAAATTTTGGAAACTTACTTTCGATAATGATTTATAAAACACTGGCTATTTAGAAAAAAACTGCTTGAGATGATTGATAGATCGCAACTCAATTAATTCAAGCTGCAAATCTGACCTCGCTGCTTCACAATTTACGTTGAAAGGCATGGTAAAATTATCCAATTCTGTTTGAATGGCACTGAAATCTTGAAATCTTCGTTTGAACTCAAAATGCTGTTTTTTCAAGCCATAATCCTTAAGCTTTTCTTCATTTACTGAGGGTATTGAATTTAACCTTGGGAAATGAGACACGTCGTTCTAAGCTATTTGTCCAGGAAACAGATTAAGTTTTCTTATTAGGTTAATTAAGTTTTATCTAAGAGGTCTAATTCACCTGTATTGGATTCCCATATGTCTGCTCCGATAGAAAGAGATGACGCTTGTTAGCGCCAATCTACAGCTATAGCTCACAAAGAACTTCCATTTTTAACACTATACCAAGTGAAAGGTGTCTGTGCTTGCTATTTCCGTCAATTTATCTTTTTAGAACATGCTTTTAGAACAAAAACAGAGAAAATAAAAAGATCGTCAGCCCTTTGAAAAAAAGAAAGAAAAAAATAATATTTAAACAAAGTAGAAAAGGAGATGGTATATAATATATAAATACATATTTCGTTAAGTTGCCTCATACCGGCAAATTAAAATTCTATCCACAGGCCAGATAGAACAATTTTAGTCCAAAATTGTTTGCCTAAGAGTGTCCATTGCTTCATCGAGTGGCCTGTCGTTACATGGCATATCTTCAATTCCTTCAATAAGCCTAAACAGGTTAGAGTTAACTTTAGAGTATCCCTTGTATTATCGCGAAATTGTTGTTTCATTTCTCTCCAAGTTGTTGTTTCATTTATCGCCAAGTTGTTGTCTCATTTATTGCCAAGTTGTCTCATTTATGACAACCTGAGTAGTTGAGTGCTATGGAAACCCTATTATGACGTAATTGGTTGCGGTGAATTTCAATCATGGGAAAAAATTTGGAAAGTGTGCGTCGGATTTTGGGTAAGGGCTTGTTGTGTGTCGGATTAGTACGTTGTTATTTTGTAGTTTACACGGTAAATTGGCTGAATGTAGTAAGATTAATTTGAAGTTTCTGTAGCATTTGGAACGAAAGGGAAAAAAGCATTAATTGACTGGTGTGTAAATGAAGGTTTACTTAGTAGTCATTATTAAGTGTCCTGTTTGGAGGAAGGAAATGCGTATGGTCGAACATCGGATATTTCGAACGGAGGATATTTTTTACTCTTATTTTTGTGAATTTATGTGGCGACACCAGTATATAGATTCTAGTTCAGATAATTTTGGGAAGTGTTTGGATGATGTTAAGGAATTATGTTTGACTGAAGACGCGAAAATTCATAAATAAGGTAAGTGGATATTTTCTTCTTCTTGTAGCGCTAAGATGAATTTTCTTTTTAATGTTATTTCAATGTTTTATTTAAAATGTAGTTTATTCAGATTATAGTATATTTTTTGTTGGCTCTTTTTTTGACTTTTTAAGTGAATATAGTTCGATGTGTACATGGACAAAGTCAAGGGAGTGCGCAAAGCATAGTTTATGAAATTCTCTGATTTTTTTTTAAGTGCAAATAGGTCGATGTGTACAGGGATAAAGTCAAGAGAGTGTGCGCAATGCCATTTTTGTGCAATTCTGGATGTTTTATTAAGTGAAAATAGGTCGATGTGTACATGGATACCGAGTTTGTACAATTCTTTGTCTTGTTATTTTGGCTTTGTGTAGCGGCGATTTTTGACCGAAAAATTTCCGCTACGAAAACCAAAATAACAAGTCAAAGAATTGCACAAACTCGGTATCCATGTACCGCCAAAAGTCGCCAAATTTCGCCAAGGAGTACTCTAAAATATACTTTTTCCTCTAAACACTTACAACATTTCTCTGCATACCGCTATGCAAAAATAAAGCTTCGCTTTGTGAAAAATATTATTAAGCTTAATAATTAAGAATAATAATATTTTTCACAGTTGTCCTTAATACAGCAAAAAAGTACCGTCCATAGGACAAACTAGATATACATATAAATTGTCTCTTTTTCTATCTCTGAAACGTATCACAAAATCAAACAGCATTGAAACTATAATGGGTTTGAAGATTCCGATGCAATAAAATTATTATAAGCAAGTGTAATAAATTTGGTTTTGTTTAAAATGCTTTAATACATTTCAAAACTACAATCAAATTCAAATATTTTTTGAGTTCTAATATATTAGAGTAGAAATTATATATACTGTTATTAGAGTAGTTTTGTATACGTACAATTAACTTAAATTTAAACTAAAAACTAATAGTGTTCCGTATTCTAAACTTGGTTTTTATGTTATAAAATGTGCAAATTCTGATACACTTGTATGTTAGCTACATAAATAGTAAGTACACAACCTTTTCCAGTAAAAATAATAAATCTTTGCATTCATCTTTAATAAACAAAAAAATGCAAGATTTTTCGAATGTTAACATCTTACTCAAATCCAATATCTTCTTTCTAAGATTAAATAAAAGAGAAAAAATGGTATTATTAAACCAGTTCACTTTTACTTTTCATTTTCTCCACTGCACTTAGCGTCCGCTGTTTAAATGGAAATCAAAGTAGAGGAACAAAAGGAAAAAGCCCGTGGCATTCTTGTTATCTGCCTTCTGAAAACGTCAGTGAAGAAAAAAAGTCTAATGTTTGGCTTTTATCTCTTAAAAACTCAAAGCTGTAAACACTTGGATTAAAAAATGTAATAAAGACTTTTAGCTATCTCATTTGGATCAATGATTAAAAGTTTGTTTTCGTTTCTTTTAACACAAACTATCCATTAGCGAAATAAAAAAGTAAAAAGTAACTTGAAATTTACTTATAACATTAAATCTGTATTTATTGCATCTTAAGATCTGAATTGAATTTATGGTATTGTTTTCAGGAATAAAACACGGAAAAACATCAATCTGTTTTCATAGTATTGAAACCGGTTCTAACATTCTAGGAATGACAACTTCGGTTTTATAAAAATTTTCAAGATTAACATTGTTTTAATTTTTACATGTTATTTAAAAATGGAATTTCTATCGAATAACTGTTTTATGATTTTCCTTAGTTTAAGTTAAAGCATAGTTCAAGATATAAACAATATCAAAATGTAATAGGTAAAATTAAAAAATTTTTTAGCGAAAAATCTGTAATATAAAACTCCAGTTTGACGTTAAGATTAGCATATCTTTAATACTAGTAATAATTATTATATGTGCATTTATTGGTGAAATATAACTGATTTTAACTAAATGTGAGTTAAGATGGCGAGGATTTCTCTATGCATTTGTGCAGGATACAACACTTTGTTTCGAATATCGAACAGTTCTGATTTTCTCTAATTCATTTCTGTTATTTATTTAAAATTATGCAAAAATGCGACCTTAAAGAGCAACCTGTTGGCGTAGATTTTAAATGTAACTCAAAAGATTTCAAGAGCATTTTTAGATGTAGCCCTTTTTCTGAAAAAAATCATTTTGAATCATCTCTTCTGAAGAAGAGCCACTAAAGTAAGAACTCCCTTAATTTGATGTAGTTTTATTCAAATTCTAGTCCAACCTAATTTTGCTTTTTTATCTGATTTTAAGTTTTACATTGGAGTATTTCTCTTTCTGGTCTTATTCCTGTTTCTCTTGAATTAAATTACACACAGTACCCTAATACACTCATACACTGGACCATAATTTCTTCATCTTGCAACTGAGTTTATATACTGGATGCAATTTATTAATTTCCTAATTGAATTATAACCTCATAACTTTTAGGACCTCATAACTGAATAACACATTGCATTCTAATTTGTTATAGGCCTTACCGGACACATTTCGGGACAGGACGACAATGGCATCGGATTGCATTGAAAACGCATGCAAGAACCGGTATCCTGATATCAAAGCTTGTGAGTATAACATATAGCTTTCATTTAGTCTCTTGTATTTAAAAAAAGACAAACAAGGGTGAAATTTTTATATAAATGTAGATATAATATTAAATATCTTTTGTATGAACTTTGTTTCGAATATATTTATTTCTGCTCGAAATATGCAAAAACTTGAAATTCTTTGATCCCGAAATGTGCATGACTTTGGAAAAATTACAGGTCGTAAAGTTGATTCCCAAGTTTCCACTTTCATCCTCAGAAGCTCTTTCAGTCAAATTTTGAATTTTGTTTAAGCGGATAAGTCCTGTGCTTTTGCCTTAATTGTATATATTCGATTAACCGGCAGTGGATTATTGAACTCTGTCAAAAAAATTCAGTCGGTTTTCCAGCACAGAGTTATCGAGCTCTGTCAAAAAAATAGTCGATTATCGAGCTCTGTCAAGGAAAAAATAGTCGACTATCCAACAGTAGATTCTTGAGCTCTGTCCAAAAAAAGTTTTATTATCCAACAGTGAATTATCCAGCTCTCTCAAAAGAATAGTCGATTATCCATCAGTGGATTATCGAGCTGCGGCAAAAAATAATCGATATCCAACATTGGATTATCCAGCTCCATCAAAAAATAGTCGATCATTTAACTGTGAATTATCCAGCTCTCTTAATAAAAGAGTCGATTATCTAGCAGTAGATTATCGAGCTCTTTAAAAAAAAATAGTTGATCATCCAACAGTGAATTATCGAGCTATGTCAAAAAATAGTGGATTACCCAATGGTGGATTAGTGAACGAGTAATGCAAGATGGATTCATGTCTTCATAGAGTTCTTGCCAAATTCGACGTTTTCCATCAGTGCAAAATAAGGTGCGCGTGATTCATCCGACTCTTTTACCCATTTCCATTCCTCAGATGTCCAGTATTTTCTTTCCCGACACAACTGCAAACGAATTCTTGCATGTCGGGCAGAAATGAGCAATTTTTCTCACTGGCACTCGACTATGCATTCCTGTTCTCTGCACATAGTCTTTTTTCCCATTTTACTTCATTCATCGTAAAAAGTACTCTTACACCTTACTTCTAATAGCACTGTAACCAAGTGTAACCCACGTCATAAAAAAAATTCCCAACGATGCAGTAATTTATTAAACGGTGCAGGACTTCTTTATCTCCAGAGATAATTTTTTTACATGTGTAATACAAACAACATTTTCTTTCGGAAATGATCTTGCTGTATGTTTGCAGCAAGTCCTTGATGCCTTAATGATAATTCGGTGTATCTGACTCGAAATAAAGGTTGGTAAGCGACAGAATGAATAGAGTAGAATAGCCCACTTGGAGATGGGAATAAAAGCAATATCATAATTATTATTTGCATGTTCTCCCTAAGGCACTACACGGAAGGGAGGGATGCATTCGTGGAGAACTTTCTAAGGGAAACTGGCTCGTATTAACACGTTACCCATGGGGAAAACTACGAAAAGGCCCATGCAGCCAGACTAATTAAGCAGTTATTAAGTCGAAAGGGGCGTTAGGATTATTAATTTCGAAACGGCATTTTGCGTCGGTTCGCTATGAATGTGCGTTTAACTTTTAAGATTATTGCCATCCAATATTATCGTTCTGTACTATATTTTAAGAAATTAAATAAGGAAGAATATGCATGAATGTATGTGTTTCATCTGGCATTGTGAAAAATCAGAGGTACCAATATCCATCCAATTTTTAATAACGTAGTCCTCTACTGGAATATGGGCACCTCGAATTCGGAATTTGTTTGCAATTTTCTATTTTATATTTTGTAAAACTTTAACGAACTTTTGATTAACAAACTCAACAGTTTCAAAGCGACCAACGGCAGGCATCACTGTACCGAGAAAAATACTTTTGTCTCCACCGTACGAGGCTGTCTATCGGAAATTCTGAAGATATGGCGTTTTTATATATTTTTAGCCCAAAGGGAGATTGGCCCAAACACTCTCGAAACGTATATGTCTGCGTGAACTAAAACAAAACACCCATTTGGGCGTAATATAAAATCTGAAAGCTTTGGTATTTTCTTTTTCTTTTTATTCTTTCTTATTTCATCGTCCTTGTAATCGCCCGTTTCATCTGTAAAAAGTCAATCATTGCAAAATCAACTGTTTTGATACTAGTAAATTGCTGATTCTTAAAAAAGAAAGTCAAATGTATAGCCTTTCATTTCATATTAACTCCTAAAGAAATACATAAGCTGTATAAATAAAAGCAAACAGTATGTGCATAGTAATATAACAAAGATGCGTAGGGCAAACGGGAAGAAATGTAACGGAGGAAAATACAGTGCGTATGCATACTTCGAGAAAAATAGACAGAGCTTTCAATAGTGATTTGGTTTACCTAACCAAGTTAATATAATATAAAGATTGAAATTGCAGGTCAATTTTTAATTATAACTCCAGTGTACCTGCGACTAATTTTCTATCAATTATAACTCATCTTTCCTGTAACTGCCCTCGGATTAATCGTGAATCTTCTCCCTGGAATTACCTCGGTGAATGCGAAGTTCACATTCGTCCGGTCTAATCCAGGCTGACTGGCTCTATTCAAGCATCATTTCTTGGCATTTAAATTTTTCAGTAGATAATAGTAATTTAAGTTGGAACACATTTTATGTAATAGAGGAAATAATACAGTAAATAATGCAGGGAACAAAAGCCGTCATGAAAGAAAACACCAGCTGGTTTTTCTTTCATGCAGTGATGGATGGAGTGAACTGTACTCAACGAGGCTTCCGTTTCCTCGCGACTTGATCATGTGATCTCCTTTCCGAAGCCAAAAAAGTCGCCCAAAAAAGAAAAAGAAAAAGACCTTAAAGTGCCTGTAATTAGCCTTGCGCGACATCGGCGCTTAATTTTCTCAAAAGCCGCTTCATTTCCTTGTTGATTCCTCTTTCTTCTTTTTCTTGTTCTTCTCCCAAGAGATTGGGGGGATATATGTATTCATTTTTGGTTTTGATTTGTTGCCCTTGTTAAGCCCTTGCCACTCAGCAAATTTACAAGGCGCTTCTGATCTTCCGAGCAAACAAGATTATATTGGCATTTTGCATGGAAGAGAAAGAAGAATTGGTGTTCCTTTCCAAGGGATTGAACAGAAATTAAAAATTATAGTTTTCTAGTTGCTTTTCTACAACAGAGTTTTCTAATTTTTTTTTTAATTTTGTACGAAATTTTTATTTATGCTAATTTAATTTAGCATTCGTATGTAATTAAAACTAGGCAGTCTTAATTCGTATAGATTTTGAAAAAAATTGTCGATTTCGGCAGCGATCAGATTCAGGTCTCTCTTCTTCAGGAACAAAAGAATGTATGCAAAAATGGGAGAAACGATAATAGAATTCTTATATTTTAGTTTTATATCGAAAGCAATGAAGAAGCAATGGGAAACGAAAGTAATTTGTTGTGAAAAATGATGACGAAATGGGAAGAACTAAAATATAAGAATTCTAAAAACTTTATGAAGAGCTAAACTGATAGTAAGGTTGTTAATTAAAGAACTAAAGTTTTCGTGAATGTGAAAATCTTCCGGAAAATCGTGAATGTGAAAATCTTCCGGAAAATCCAATTCACTAGCTGTAGAAACCTTATGGATAATTACTTCGGAACTTAAGTTTTCGTGAATGCGAAAATCTTCCGGAAAATCCAATTCATTAGCTGTAGTAACCTTATGGATAATTTTTACGAAACTAAAGTCAAAATTATGATTAATTGCCCTACAATGATTTGTTTAATTTTCAAACACATCTCTTCCTGACCCTTTCAGAATTCTAAGTTTTACACGTTTATTTGCTAGTTTTCTCGACAGATGGCGTTATGTTTGTTGTTGCTTTGATCCATCCATTGCTGTCGATATAACAATGATTGCCGCTCCTCTGATCTTTGCAAAAGCAATTTTGCTACTGAAGAAGAGAAACTTGTATCTAAAAACTATCTAAATCAACATAGTTCTATTTAAAATGCGTAAAGTTAAGGTTGCTTTTTGCATACTATTAAACATTAATAGTTAGTTAAATGATTATTGAAATTTGAAAAATGAAATTTAGAAAAATACTTCTGGCAACATGTACTGTTGTCCAAAAACTAAGCATAATTGACGTTTATGTGACTGTTTAAGGAAGTTTTGTTAGAATGGCGGAAAATGTGGCATGAGAGTATAATATGGTTATATCATACGGAAATAATGCAAAGGAAGGATATTAACCATTCTTATTATCCAAAGAAAGGGTCTGAATGAAAACAGCACAAACTAAGTGTTAGTTAGGTGTGTGGTCGCCTCTGGTAGCCACGCCTGTTGCACAACGATTGCCCATATATGCTATGAGAGTGGGGATTAGTAATGGTCTCAAACAGTTCCAAGTATGAAGGAGAGCTCTTTTCAGTTCTAGAATGGAGTTTGGTTGGTGCGAAAGGGCTGCAATTTATTTCTCGAGGATATCTTATACATGCTCAATAGGATTAGTATCAAGAGTGTGAGAGAGCCCCTGCATGCGCTGGATATTTTCACTTTCAAGGAAGTAGTCGACCAGAATCGTACAGTGACAAGACATGTTATCATCCTTGAATATGAATCCAGAACTAAAAGCACCTCGAAAAAGGTGAGTGAACATAAGGCTCAAAGACTTCGTCTCTGTACCTTTTAGCAGTTACAGACACCGTGTCAAAGACGTGGAGGTTTGTGCGGCCATCCAGCATTATGCCTGCCCACACCATGACTCTCTTCGAAAGGAAATGATGCCTTTCCGTAATGTTTCTTGGATGAAAACGAGTTTCACGCTCTTTTCATATCATGATGTTTTAAACTCATGTTTAGACAAGCACGTTTATGCGCAGGCGTGGGAAGAATGCAAATAGCTGGTCGTCTGGGATATACATTAGCGTAATGGAGTCTCCTATAAACAGTTTGCCTCGAAACTCGTACTCCTGTGGCGGCTGTGGGCGTTCAACCGAGTTCTCTGGCACAACTGTCTCTCTGATGTTGCGGGGATAT